GTTAAATGACCAAAGATCCGCAATCCATGCACTGACTCATTGTGTTTTGAAATGCATTGCACTCGATGTGTCATCTTTGGAAAGGTGTGAATAAGACTGAATATATCATCTGCATTGTGGTGATCCAAAACGAAAGGAGAGGCCAGGAAATCCTTCCCTGACAGATATACAGTTAGTGCATGTATTTATTTAATCGTATCTTTAAAAATCTAAACATAAATTTACAGATTTAAGAACCAGAAGGGGAAATAATGATTTAAAAATGATTTTCATCTCATGGGTCAGATTCCCCCTGTCCGTTTTCTTGTGTGAGGAGTCATAAATAAATAAGTGCTAGAAGAAAAAGTGCTATACACTGACAGTGACAGCAACATATCATATAGCTTTGCACTAACAATCTGACCATTCTTATAAATCTTTGGAGAAAGGAAAACTAAAGCCTCATTCTGTCATTTACAGCAGCTTGAAATTCGTGTAACATCGCAGGCTGCTAAAGTATTTCCAGTCTTGGCAAGTTCACAGCACCACACAGGGTCAGGGCAATTTATCAAGATGACTGCTGTACAATAAGGACACCATATTATGTGCAATGCCTAAAACCAGTCAAACGTTTCAGGGAAGATCACAGAGGTGGAATGAAAGACTGTGTTTTTCAATATCAACTTAGGGAAAGAAATAGAGATGGGTATTTTTGACTGAGAGGGGTGTTACTGGTAAAAATCACAACCAACCAATTAAAAAAATGTGTGGAGAAAAAATGTGTTTGAGTGTTTGTTTGAATCCTCATTAGCTGCTGTATCAAAGCAACCATTTCTCCTGGGGACCATATACAAATGCATATAGTGACAATACAAATAGACATCATTTCCACATAATTACATGATGGCAACGATAATACAACATGCAACAGCTATACTCATACAGACATTAACTTACTTAATATCATAATATCTACATGATAAAAAATCGTGTCAGTCAATAAAAGGCAAAATGTCCTTACTTTATCTATTTTCAGAAGATAATCCAATTCCATAATATTTTACAAATGGACACGATTTTGTTGCAAAAAAAAGGCTTTATAAGGTCTGTTTCATTATGATATTTCTAATAACAAGACTAAAAACAGTCTGCAGTCATCTTAGTAGCTCTGTTAATCTGTACTTAGGCAGAGCGCTGCTTAAAGTTAAAAGCTAATGCTTAATGGTTCACAAGCTGATGGTTAGAAGGTATAAGATTTACCATGTTCTCCATCTTAATTTTGCATGTTAGCATTTGCTAATTTGAACTAAACACAAAGTACAGTTGTGGCTGATGGGAATGGTATTTGCTCATAAACCAAGGTATTGGACAAATTGAATGAGGGTGCTATATGTTTAAGTTAATGGATCACCAAAGTGATTACAATTCATCATTCAATCCATCCAATAGTTGTCAAAACATTTCATTAAAAAGACAGCTTTTCATTTTTTTGGGTTAAAATGTGCAAACCGTTCACAATTATCATTTTTAATTTTATAGTTATAACATGCGGCTAAATTAAACAATGTAAGCTGTAAGTTAAGACATGCATTAATAGCTCTCTGAATCACCTATTGCATTCAATTTCGTTATATATTTCAGGTCAGGTTCCTATGCTGAATGTTGCGAATGCAGGTAAGCAAACACGCTGTTAAAGTAAAATGGCTTGCTGCAGTCTTTGGCATGCATGCTGTACCTGAGGTCATTGTCACACTGAGTGAACCTTGTAAAATATTTTTCAAGCATACTGTACAGTACAAGTTGGGAGCATGGTTCATGTGCAGGAATTTCTGCTCCCTGTGTACACTGCCAGCAGACAGTTAAAGAGGACCTCCACAACTCCATCCTCACAATTTATTGAATGACTTTTGCTTCATCTACTGGGCCAATGCTGCATGCCTCAGCACATCACAGCCTAACACCTTGCCTGTCTGAACCTACTCCTGCTTTGCCAGCTACTGACACATGCTGATGCTGTAATTAGGTGTGGGTGGTATAGTCAAGACAGATATCATTCACTCTCAGGGACAAATGACAGTAGGGCCTCACAGTATCAACCTTGTCGGCAAAATAGAGGAAGAATGTATGATTCAAGGTCAAAAGGTTTAGCCTTTTATCTGCTATTATTTGTCATTATTTATGATCACCTTAGGAAGTTTGTTGTTTGTGTGAAATCCCAAATAAAATGCTACAAAATTAAACACATAAATGTGAAAATGTGAAAAAATACTGATTGTAGCCAATAAACAGATCACAATTATTTGGAGTATATTCTAAGCAATTAACTCTTGTTTCAAATACATCATGACGCTGCTTCAACAGGGCAGTGTACCATGTACAACGTGTTAAAACATACTCACATGTAACCTCTTGGGATCACAGAACAAACAGAGGGTGCCCTAATATGATTTCCCGTGTTTCTCTGTGGTTCACCTTCAATCACTCATTGCACAATTTCTGCAGGCCAGACACAGGCAAGCCACTGAATTTATGTGGCAGGTTAAGCAGCAAAGTCCCTGATCCAAGACCACATCATATTTCTCTCTTTGTGGTACAAGAGCTACAGTTGCTGACAGTGTTAAATTCTGGTAGTAATAGGAATAATTGATGACTGGCTATTTATTGGGGACGAAACCAGTCTGGCGGGACAAGGTCAGATATGTGATTTACAGTATTGTGCTCAGACAAAGAGAAATAAAGTACCCTTTTGCCTCGGGCAAGGGAGCAGAGTAGAGCAAGTGTAATGTTTGCATTTAGTTTGAGTAAGGTAACAGCTGCTCAAAACAGGACACAGTGTGATCTTTCTGCTGACACAGAGCTAAATGTTAAGCTTGATTAGTGATTTTTTACAGTCTACACTGCATGATATGAGCTTTTCCAGTGTTTCCATGTAAGCCTGCTGCAGTGTATTTTCATCAACTCTGGAGACCAAACAGCTAAACAGCTGGAAGTGCAAGTATGTCATCTGTTTTAATAAGGAGCACTTTGCACTGACACTTTAAGTGGGCTGCATTAATGCCTTCATAGCTCTATAATTAGCAAGGCACAATTTCACAAAGCAGTTTATTCAGCAATGATTGCACAAGCAACTGCTAAGCTGATTTGATTTTGTGCATCATGCAGCATCACCTGTATGAGGGAATCAGGGGGGTGAGGCTCTGCTACTCAAATGTTTTCCTTGAGCAGGGGATGATGTGATAAACGCCAAGTGCACCTACACATAGCACATGTGCAGCTGCATATTTCATGGTTAGTTACCGAAGCGCACTAGGCCTCTTTGAGTAGGTGTCTCAAACAAATCCCATGGATGTGGAGGAAATAAGTGTTTAACAATTAGATAAACACTCATCGTACACTCAAAGGTTGCTGAATTAAGGGGGTGGAAGGTGTGTAATGTGACATTTACACCACAGTCACAGCTGTAGTCAAAGTACATGCAGTTTTAACGTGGGGCTTAATGCAGATTGTGCTGTCATAAACACAGTCCTTTTTTTCTATGATGCACATGCCTCCCAAGGCGCTGACTAGGGTCTGGAACAACAACTTTATGGGTTCTCAGTAGTAACTGATTTATTATCAGTTACTACAGAGATTCGTGGTGTGTCTGTGACTAAACAGTCAGTCCACAGTCAAGGCGTTGCTTTGTATTGTGTTATGTTATAAAGGACAGCTGTATGTCAGTTACCTTCACAGTAGCAGCCTGACATTATAAAATCAGTGTCTCTTGTATCCAGTGGTGGGCTCAGGCTGTCTGAGGGACAGGGGCAGAAGAAATTAAAAAAGGGGACCAGCTGCATTCAGTGAGGTCAGAAAAGTCATGATGCATTTATTGTGAAACGGTTCCAAACCATGGTTAAGATTAAAGTTGTTTTATTCTGTGACTCATATTTAAAGTTAAACTACAACTTGTCTGAAATAAATATGCACAGGGAACTATTAACAGTTTAACCATTTAGAGCTGTGGTTCTCAAACTGGTGGGGGATAGAGCCACTGCAGGTTGGGTGTGGATGACCAGAGTAAAAATATGGAGTTGAACCAATAAATAAGCAAGAACTGGCTAATGCTATCATGCTTCACAAAGCGTGGGTCCTTTTTTACTAATGGTTGCTAAAAAACAATTTTGGGGTGTGGGGCATGAACTTTCTTTGACTTCTGAAGGGGGGTTTGACACAAAAAAAATTGAGAACCACTGATTTACTGACAAATAGAGGCCAACTTATTTTTATAGGACAGCCTATATGGCACTGCACTGCATTTTCTCCACTGGAGGGGCACCCTAGAGGGCAATGGACCACCTTTTCTTGCACATAAGGCATCGAAGAGGACACTTTTGATGTGATTAACCCCACTGTCCCCCAGTCCATCAGTGAGCGTGTTGCTGGGGAAGGTAGGCCAATTAACATTAATAAACAAGATGGTTTTCTTTTCAAAATGAAAACATCTTAGAAACAGATACTTAATGGGTAGATGGTTAACTCACAGGTTTTCTCTGGACATCGCTGGATAAAGGAAATTCCCCTACTTGATTTTCTACACGGATCCTAAATCAGGAGAAACGTAATACTGTACAGGGCCACGTTCCTGCCAACAAATGAGATTTGAATTACTTTTTTTTTTTATTAATACGGATTAATCACGTCTGCAGGATGTGAGAAATGTCTGGGGACTTTAAAGGGTGGTCGCACGGATGTATCATCCATCATAAAGCAGCAGGATCGGTGTCTCCTTGAGAAACCCTCTGATCACTGCAGAATAAGACTAATTAGAAACACGGAATGTTTCCTGAGCAGCAACAGTCTGTCTTGACAGAGGTATCCTCTACTTACACACCTCATGTTACTGAAATCAAGGCTCCTGCTCAAGCAAAAATACACACACACACGCACAACTCTCCCACATGCCTAGAAAACGCAGTGTTTATCGTCTCAATTGGACTCAGTTCCCCCTTCCGACCACTGTGTGGTTCATTCCAGCGCCTCTGTATCCTCAGTGCGAGGTGTGTTTCTGCTGTCAGCAACGCTGAGCCAGGCGGTTCATCACTCCGCTGACAAGACCAGCAAAGTGAATTTCGATGGAGAGATTAAGACCGAGCATCTCATGCAGGACTGCTTTATGCTGAACTGTTTAATGGGGTGAGTTATTTACTAATGTGAATGAATTGTTGCCGCCGAGTTTTTTCTTTTCTAACAAGATATACCGTTGGGTATTTTTAAGATAGGATTTAAAAGTGAGGCTGTGTTTTTGTTGGGGGGGCGGAGGGTGTAACAAGTGTCTTGGTTATGATGATAATCTATAACCAGAGTGAAGTGCAGGCAGGAAACCTCGTGGGACGTGTAAGCTCCTAAATATTTAAATGGTAAATTATTCTGGAGAGTAAAACTGTTGAATCTCTTTCAGTAAATGATGCACATGTAAATGCGTTCAATGAGTAAGAGAGGCATGCTGTAATGTGAAACATCACATTGGTTTGGAAAACATGTTTCACCAAACCAAAGTGCTAAAGCTGCTGAAAACAGAACTGAATTACCACTCAAGTTGAAGATTCGCTTTATGGTTTTAATATCACCCAATCCTAAGGACACATCTACATACCTTCCCTCCTTTCAGCTGCAAATGTCATCCCCTGAAGATCGTGTAACCAACACAACAGTTCCAGAGCAGGGGCGCTTTACACAAAGGGGATGCCATTCACACTCTTACTGTTTTAATCACAAGGTTGTGACAGTGTGTTGTGATGATGTCCAAGTGCTTTTCACCTGAATCTGCAGCTGGCAGCCTTCAATGCTTTGTTATAAATTGTGTTTTATGATTGCATAGAAGGGGCAAAAAATAATAAATAAATAAATAAATAAATTTATAGTATTTATAATATTTATATAATAAATTAGAGACAGAAAAAAGAGGCATGAAAGGCAAATACACACTACTATTCTATTCTTTTGCTGAGAAATTTACACTCAAATTTGTATGGTCTAGAAATAATAGCAGCCAAGAAAATTAGATTTAAAAAACATGCAAAACACATTAATCTAAATTTGTGTCCAGCGTCTTGATTTCCACAGCAACGGGTGCAGTGTGGCTTTCTTGCAAAGGCGAATGAAGCCCGGAAAGGTCTGTAGTTACAGATAAATTTGCTCATTATAAAATTATAATGAAATATTTGAGGTCTGGAAATATCTCCTTGCTGCAGCTCTGTCAAGGAACATGAAAATTCTTCACAGTTATAACTTATCTTTTTCACCTCTGTTCTCCTGTTGGACTTACAAAGTAAAAGCACATGGACTCTGTGATAGGTAATGAGATGTTAATCATCCTCTATCCCTGTCTAATTTCTCACAGTTAACTAAAATTCCCACAAGGCTCCTGAGTAAATATGCCCAGTGAACCAGATGACACTTGCAGATCTCAAGACAGTGACTGGCCTGAATTGACACTTTACCCACACAGCTGTCTGGAAAACACTCCAAAATATAGACTAGAACGTCCTCAGTTATTATCCTTTGACATCAGTGAGCATGATTCCTGTATTCCTGTCTATCAGCATGTCTCCCTCCTCACTCCTCTCACATGTGCATATATACACTTGAATGTGTTTTTCTGCCTTGTGTGTTTTTCTTTCACAGAGTGAGTGACAGCTGTTTGAGGGTGGGAGCGGGAATGTTTGATTGCCTGTTCCCTTCATAACGGTTGTCCAATTTCATGGCTATTAGGCTTGTTAATAGGAGCGGGGAGAAGAGAGAGCAGAGGGCCTATCGGTGTGTTTGGTTGGACCCTTTGATTAGAGAGCATGGTTTGTGATGCTAAGAGACAGTGTCACATGTCACATAAATACACCGACTGACAGGGACATGGCTCGTATTGTTATTACCCATCGGGCCTTATTGTTGATCAGTCTGACACAATCCAGTGGGTGTAAAAACATATATGAACAAAGTATTGCAGCAGGAACTCTGTTATGTTTTAATTATCTTCTTCATGTCCTTACAAATTCGAGGAACATCTGATTGATTTATTCCCCATATTAATGTTTTGGTAATACAGCCAAAAGTGATGTCATTACAAGCCAAACAGCCACAAGAATATGATCCCATTGATTAAATCATGCAATTTAAACCAAACTCAATTAGAGCTATTTATTTCTACTGAATTATGTGCATTAGCTACACTCATTATGGACACAGTGGCAAAGGAAAAACCTGAGCAAGTCATCCAGAACCCTTCATTACAATGTCACAAGGAAATGCAAAATGAATGGTTATATTTAATATTCAAGATCACAGTTAGAACTTTAAACACTCTGGTCTGGCAGAAGCACTAGGGTCAAGGTAAGATCCGTATTTTAAAAAAGCCTGGGAGGATTTATCGAGGTCGTAGGAATAGGTTAAAGTAGAAGTAGTTTAACTGAGCATGTATAAATAAGAAATTATGATTAATGATTAAAATTATCATCTTTTGAGAATGTTTAATCAGGCACATCTGAATATGCTTTCTGAAACATGATGCATGAAATCATTATTGCCTCCAGTGATGCTGCTAAAACTGATGCTTCTGTGAGTCAGATGTGTCTTAGTTATCATAACAATGTATTCGGGGCAGAAATTAGGAATTTCTAATGTTAGCCAAATCCTTAAAGTTTTTACTTAGTCATTGAAAGCATGTAATAGTTGATTTATGTAATTATGCCACTTGTACTTAAATTAGTCTAATCGTTCATACTGTCGGTAGCAGTTGTAAGTTTAAGATCGATAACCAAAGAAAGAGATTCATTGTTTCTGTGCTGTTGAACATTGTGTAGTGTAGACTTGCTGAGCCTCTCCTGTGAATTTATTGATAGAGCTGGCATGTCAAATCTTCTCTTTTGTGAATCTGAAACAGACAAGACAGAGAATCTATGTTAATACAAAGAATCTCTCCTACAGACTTCTTCGAAGTCTTATTTGAAGTGAAAATATATGCTGCTCTGTGCTAACACTTAAAACATATAACTGCTTAATAGAGGAATCTCTCTACTGCATACCAAAGTGAGGTATTTCTGAATGAGATTACAACAAAGACTCCACTTAAAACTGTTCATTTTGCAACTGAGGCCATACTTTGATGCTAATCAAAGGACGGCAGTAGGATGATGAAACTGAATATGTATGGTCTTTTCTAGACACAGAGATGTCTCAGAGTACTTTTGAGACGTTTTAACAGTAGATGAAATTGCACTTGAAAGTTGTAGGCAGGTTTGCTTGACAGCTGCAAGAAAGTGCTTTGTGAGCAAATCACCTCTCTTGTGAACGACAGTGATGTACACTAGTGCATTTTACGCAATGGTGCAAAGCCAGCAGCAAAAGCTATTATTTTGTGTGAGTAGTGTATGTCTTTAATCTAGTTTGTTCCTCTTCTCTCTCCCCCCACTGTAGAATGCGTCAACTGTCTGCAGAAACTGTCTCTGAATCGCCTTGGCCCTTGGCTGCGGGGCTGTAAGCAGCTACCATGACGTACCCAAACACCAGCATACTGACAACCAACTTCAGTGGAGCTTTCGACAGCCATGACTCCGGGGGAAACATCTACCGGCCCTTTTCGGTTTTCAGCGTGCTGACTCTCACATTATTGGCAATGCTGGTGGTGGCCACCTTTGTGTGGAACTTGCTGGTGCTGGTGACCATCCTGAGGGTAAGGACATTCCACCGGGTGCCCCACAACCTGGTGGCTTCCATGGCCATCTCCGACGTGATGGTGGCCGCCCTGGTCATGCCGCTCAGCCTTGTCCATGAGCTGAATGGCAGGTTGTGGAAACTGGGTCGCGTGCTGTGCCAGGTGTGGATCTCCTTCGATGTGCTCTGCTGCACAGCAAGCATCTGGAACGTGACAGCCATTGCATTGGATCGCTACTGGTCCATCACAAGGCACCTGCAGTACACGCTCAAGACACGTAAAAAGATCTCCAATGTGATGATCGCACTCACGTGGCTGCTGTCCTCAATTATTTCCCTGTCGCCTCTCTTCGGCTGGGGGGAAACCTACTCAGAGGGAATGAAGTGCCAGGTGAGCCAGGAGCCGTCCTACACAATCTTCTCCACCTTCGGGGCATTTTATCTGCCGCTTTGTGTGGTGCTGTTTGTTTACTGGAAGATCTACAAGGCTGCCAAGTTTCGGATTGGCTCCCGCAAGACCAACACAATAACACCCATGGCTGAGGTGATTATTCATTTTCTTTTTTTAAAATCCATTTCTTAAAATACCCCCTCATCCTTATAAGTCACAATATCATTATCCTCTCCCTTGTCAAGGTATTGGGTAATGCGTGTAGATTGACACCTTAAAACGTTGTGGTGTTGTGAGCACAAATAAGCTGTGTTGCCCAGCAGGTTAGAAAACTTAAACTTTGAATGGCCCAGAGACTGGCCTGCCTGGAAAAGGAAATTCATCCAGTACAGGTCGACTGCAAAGTTGGAAAAAAAGGGCAGCAAGTTCCAGGTTTGTACCCTTATAAAGGGAGAAAGAGGACAACAATGAGACTGTTCTAGCTAAATTAAATGATTCCTTCACACCTAAGAAAAACATGATACATGAGATTCCACCAGCAAATCCAGAAGCTGGGGAAAAAAAGTTGCATCCTTCATCATCCCCTACTCAGTATTTTAGAGACACTTGGGTTGTTATGCACGACAAAGAGATCTCAAGGCGATTACTGGTAATGTCCGACCTTACACTGGAAACTGCAGTGCAGATGGTACGAAAAGAAGAGGATGTAGCACAGCAGATAAGCAAGCAGGAGCAACAGGAGCAACAGGCGCAACAGGCAGCATTTAGTGTGCAGGAGGTGATACACTGGTGACCATCGAAGACAGGTGGGAGACAGCTGAGAAGTGACGAACAGGAGGAATCTTTCTCAGGGGATTATAGGTTCCGGCGATGCAGAAAGGAAAAGCATAATGCCACAAGGAAATACCTAACATTAGAATCTGAACGTAGAAAATGTCAGGGAAAAAGGCCATTGGGAGAGAAAAAAAGTCAGCAGTCACTACTATTAGAGAGACTTATACCTAGTAAAAATCAGGGCTGTGCAGTCCATTGGACAGAAGTTGAAGTTACTGTAATGAACTTGAAAACATTCAGAAAGCAAGTTATATCTAGCTGACCCCTAGACAGCCTGGGAGGGTTGTGCAGTTTTTAAGACTAGGTTAGCAAACCCAAGCGCAGATGCTCCAAGGTGAGGAGACAGGGATTAAACAGAAAAAGGGATTCATTGTAAAGCCTCGGGAAGGGAATGCAAGCATTGGAAGCTTGGGCTGCTAGCTGACAAACTGGGGTATGAGATGAAAGCTGGCAACCTGGGGCTGAAGCTTGGGCTGGAAGCTGGCACCAGTGAGGATCCAGGACAAGGAAGCAGGGCTGATGAGATGAGATGCTGGGGACAGGGACTGGAGCCAGGGCAGAGAGGACTGCCAAGGGAACAGGAGACAGGGTTAGGCAGGTGGGAAAAAAACAGGTAACTACATGAAAAACTGGTCAAAACAAAGACTGTGCGGTGCAGCAGCTATGGTCTGGCAGCATGGTAGGGACAAGGATGAGTATTTGTAGGGGTCTTGATTATTGAGATGAGGTGCAGCTGGTGTGGCTCTGCTCTGGCTCCAACACACCTGTCCCCACTCACACAATTAGACACGCACGCAGGGAGAGAGGAGAGAACCACCTGGGGAGTGGCAACAGGTTAGAGAGATACAGGCTCATGATAGAAATATTGTGGGGAATTTCACTGCTTGTACCCTTTCATAAACAGAGGAAGTGCATCTTTGGCATATAATTGGCAGAAGGGTCAATGGTCATCAACCTATTAGGTAGGGAGGCAGCAGTAGAGATGGGGCTGGTAGAAAACACTTGCACTGGGAACTATTTATCACAAATACATAGTTGACTATGACTATAGCATGTCTCCTTTATGATCTGCTGAAAGAAGAAATGGAATCAGCCACTTCCGGCAACTCAAAGAAGCCCTTAAAACATCACCAGGTTTGGCTCACTTTGTCCCAGAGGCAGACAGCTGTTTCAGCAGACACAAGCAGTTACGGAATCCTTCCGCAGATGCTCAGGGAAAGCTGGAAGCCAGTTGGATATTGGTCCAGGAGACCAGGTATGTGCAAACTGAAAATTTGTAGCAGGAGTATGAAAAAAACACTGGTCATCATTAATGCATTGTCATGCAGGCCATTAGAAGACAGAGACAACACCACAGAGACAGACGTTGCTTGTCATGTCAGTCCTGTCACTTACAGTTGGTCAATATCGCAGCACAAACCAGACACCATAAACTTTGCTACACAGAGGGATGAACAAGTGCAATGGGTACTGCAGCTGATTAAAGAAAGAGTGTGTATAGCATCGTACACAGTGCAAAATGTTATTACACAGTGAAAGACTCATTGCCAACATGTGAGGGGCTTATCACACAAGGCAGACCGTGTTGTTAAGTCACTGAAATTTGAAAGAATTGAAGAATTTAATTCCTGACCAGATGGTTAGTGATATGGTTCACAACACAAAAGTGAAACCTGGAAAAACTACATTATGACACTGTGCATGTCACGTCCGGCCCTCACAACACTCCGGGAAAAGGGTATGTCTTTCAAACAGAAAAACACATCCTTAAACAAGGCGACCCACTGTTAGCATTAATGTGCACAGCGGATCTGCTCATGGGACGAAATATCAGAAACCAGGAGACCCTGTCCTGTTTAAGTTGGATGGGGACAAGGCATGGAAAGGACCAACATCCATCATTAGGTAGAGCGGCAACTGGAACACTGAAACACAATATCAGGGATCTGGTCATGGTTGTAGTGACAGAAATGGACTTCACAGAAACAAACCAGCAAGACTGTCGGTCTAGTAGGATGATGACTTCACTGTCTGTTTAAGTTATGTGTATGATCCATTAAGGTGTCAGTACTAAGGTAATATAGTAATGCCTGATGTGTCATTATTTTGGAGTTAAAGAGTTATTCAAGGCTTGGAGCCAATTTTGATCAAACGTGAATCATCTGCTTTTGCCATGTACTGAACACAATATTTGATCTTTTTGTGTTATCAGATTGCATATCACTATAAAAACAATATTTCTAAAGTTTAAGTTGAAAAATATTTATATATTATATTTTGGCACAAACATTTTCCCAGTAGACTAATGCAGAATATGGGCAGTATGTAAATAAACAATTGTAAACCACATTCATTTTAAATTAATAAATCATAAAATTGTAGGAACATATCAAATCAATTGATACTGATTTTTCTCTTAAAAACTTCTATAAACAGTGCAACTGCGTGTACGTCTACCTTTTTTAAATACATTTTGGAGTGCCCTTGTCATTTATTGATGTGTCCTGGGACTCAGGAGATATAAAACTCCAAATAACAACACTTTTACTGTTAAGCTGTTTAGTTTTCTTTTAATTACAACCTATTGGTCATCATTTCAGTTATTTCCTTTTGGCAATGAAAAGATCTCACTGAGAGCTTTGATTTAATATTTAATACTCATAACAACAACAACATGGCACTTACGCCCCTTTGTTTGCAATCCCTTGTATTGTTTGTGTGTAACACTGTGACCTAGAGCGGAGATTATTTGTGCAGGAGATGTCAAGGTATTGGGTAATACAAAGGACACTCCCTGAAACCAGTAAGAGACTTAGAATGACCAGCTATGCTGTGATGAGCTTTATGTGAGTCAGCAAGATTGGCTTTTTATACCCCTCATGTTGAGATTCTGGAGTTAATAGACCACATGGTCTGACTACAGATGTCTGCCAGCAGTTTATTTGGCACCCCTCCTATATAAAGTGATGAATATTTCTCCTCCTGGAACTGGCCAATGCCCCTGATCCACAAATGTGGATTGATGTGAAATTATATATTATTTTATCAACGTTATTTAACAGTAATCAAGGAAACATAAGTATCTGATTTATGAGCTTACGGACAAGGAATCCTGCTCATCACCACCAGCTTGTTAATGTGCGTCAGCAGACGGTAGAATGCTATAAATACCACCTCTAGCATCTTTAATGGGCCACTGCACCTTCCTGGCTGTGGCGTTTCTCTAATCAGCAGACACAAAGGTCTAAATCTATTCTCAAGCATTTGCAAATATTTAATCAGGCAAATTTTCCCTGTGAAAATTGAGTCTGCACCTCCTTTTCACCTGCCCTTTTGATGGGAAATACAATTTTAACCCCCCCTCAAAAAACACCTCAGTGATAGAAATTACGCCACTTTTAGACATCTCAGAGCAGACACCCTTTTCGCTCACCTATGAAAGGCTACTTATGAAAATCTTTCACCACATGAACATGCTGATAAATTGGCAAATATTCACAGAAAGGAGAAATGTTTCTCAGAACGGACGTTTTTTTTCTTTTAATTTATGTAATGCACGCACCTGGAAATTTTCCCACTATCCTCAAGATACTCCTTACTTACAGCAAGTTTGACATCAGTTGGCTGGAAATTAGGAATTTGTGGTCAAGGAGAACCAATCATCGAATGCATTACCCCTGTCTTTTGCTGCTTTGATAGACCAACTTCTATGTCAAGTTTAATTACACAGGCAATCACTCTTGTAGCTATAGCAATTAAATGGAATATGTTTTATTAGTTGTTTTGCTTTCCACAGACATACTCCCAGCTTATGGTTGTATAATACGTGTCTCATTACCCAGCCAAAGTTTATTCTCATCATTTTCCAGCGTCAAAGATTCAAAGCACTGAGCCCTGCAACGACTCTGCATGGAGTTCAACATCCAACATAATAAACCTCCATCGACACCCACTCAAAGACATTAAGACACACATACACATGACACAAGAAATAGCATGTCTTGATAAGTAAGGTGCACAGATTCTTGGCCTAGATGCACAAATAACTCGACACTGCAGTGCTGAAAGCTATAAAATCTATAGCTTCAGAAAATGGTTAATGTGACTACAAACTGACTGATGTTAAAACAAACTTGTATCTCGACATTTTAGATTCCATAAAACCTCAAAACAGTCAAGATTTCAGACCGACTTACTTGACCTTCAACACATTAAGTACATTTGTCTTTCTTTAACTTGTATACCCTTTTAACATTATGAAAGCAGATCAAACATTCCTAACAAGACAAAAAAAAGCTGCAAGTAGGAGACTGTCCATATACTCACAAAGTATATGACTTTGTACACTCAATCTCACTGGAGAATCCGCTCTGCTAACAGTCAATGTTAAGTGAGAGCCATGAGATGATTAGCTTTGCATAAAGACTTAAAGTTAAAAAGTCAACCAACCACCACTTAAAGCTTACTTATGAACACTTTATCTTGTTTGTTTAATTAATAAGCTCTCAGGTTGTGTGAGCTATTTAAGGTGAGTCTCACCTTCATAATCTGAAAGAAGATCATAACCATCATTGATCCGTTGTTGGAGGACCTGCAGTTATTTTAGCTACTGCACCATTCAGTATATAATATCGAGGCATCCAAAACCATCCAATAAATTTGGTAACTCCTTCCCCACAGCCCTTTGCTTTTAACCTATAGCCTCTGCTGCAAATGAATTTGCTTCATCCATCTTATCAGTTATAGGCCCTGCTGACCCGTATTGATTCAGCTAAATTTACTCCAGAGTGAAGTTTCTGCATCCGTGTGCAGGTTCTTGTTTAAATAGAAAACAACAGTGAAAATGTTAGTCTGTGCGCTTTACTTCTAGCACATTTAGAGGAATGGGTAGTCTCTAGGCTTGGTGAATGACCCGGGCAACTTCACCTTTATAAACAAAAAATAAAGTCAGCCTTGAGCTGTGCTAGGCAACAAATGAGAGAGGAGAAAGTCAGCAGATTAACGTTGACATTTTCTTCTTTCTTTACTCGGCTGTGCAGTATGTTTGTGAAATGGCACAAAAGTGGCTGCTGGAAAATGCAGATTAAGACACAGCTCTGGCTTTATGCTGTGTGTGTGTGTGTGTGTGTGTGTGTGTGTGTGTGTGTGTGTGTGTGTGTGTGTGTGTGTGTGTAAATGAAAGGATAAGCTTTGGCTTGTTGATCCACCTGTTGATTCACACTTCTGTTTAGCAGCCTATAAGCCATGTTTTGTTGAGCAGCCACAAAAATTTTCACTTCAGCAATTGCTTTTCTTTGGCCTTAATTGTTAAACATATTGCTTTTCTATTTCCAATGCCAACCAGGTTTGTCTGATTGATTAATCAATCAATGGATTAACTGATTTATTCTCTGATCGGCTGCCTTGCAGGTAAAGGAAGAAACACAGCAGCCCCAGATGGTGTTTACTGTGCGCCACGCCACCGTGACCTTCCAGACAGATGGGGACACATGGCGCGAGCAGAAGGAGAAAAAGGCGGCGCTGATGGTAGGCATTCTGATCGGCGTGTTTGTACTTTGTTGGATTCCCTTCTTCATCACCGAGCTCATCGTTCCGCTTTGCTCCTGTGACATCCCACCCATCTGGAAGAGCATCTTCCTGTGGTTGGGGTACTCCAACTCTTTCTTCAACCCGCTCATATACACCGCCTTTAATAAGAACTACAACAATGCCCTGAGGAACCTCTTCTCCCGGCAGCGCTGAGCCACTCTGCACGCTCGGCAGACACACCAACATGCACTCCACAGTGTTACTCCTCCAGACAGAAAGGGACTAACCTATCTGTGTCCGTCACTCCATCATCTCTCAGATGGATGACAACCGGAAACTAAAAATGTGTCATTTTTATTTAAGTTTTGTTGTATTTATTACCATGCTGAGGCAACCTCACAGCTAGACTGAGGCGGGTGTCTCAGCTGTATCTACAAACAGAGGAATAAATTGGTTGTGTTGTGGCAGTAGCAGATATACTGCTGTTTCAGACTTATTAGAGAGGATGGCATTTTAACTCCCAGATAAACAGTTTCATCATCATATGTATCTGAGGCTGCTGGGAATAATTTCAAAGTATAGCTGGAACAAATGTTCAAGAAAAATCTTTTAGAACTTAACAAGAAGAACCTCATAAATAATAAACCAAGAACAAAATGTGGATTCTTTAATAAACTAGAGCACATAGGGCTTATAATCGTAGATAACTTTTCAAGCTAAGATATTGATTTGGTTATAGAAAAGAAGGATAGAAAAGATCCAGTGAAGCGAGTAAGTGTTCAGCAACCTCTACCTTTTATATAAAGGTCCCTGACTTCACATGCTGTTTATTCGTATACTTCTGGATAAATGTACAATATATTTCATCTGCTATATACCAATTACCCTTGCACATACACCTACATGCTCCCATGTCTTTTATGAAAGCAGGGAAATAGCAGAACACATTATCATTTCCATCATCTTTGAATAGATGCATTGTTGAGAAAGTGCAGCCACACATGATCATATGTCACAGACACAGACACGTAAAGTAAATATGAGATACAGAAGATGTGTGGATGGTGTAAAGCTGTTCACAGCATTTTCATCTGTAGCCAGAGAAGTCAGTAAATTGGAAAATAAAAAGCAAGGACATGTGTTGCTTCAATGAGAAATGCATGATTTAAGGTTTAACTTGTGGCGATATAGTAGGGGGATTATGGAATTAAGAAAAGCTGATGTTAACCAGTACAAATGATAATCAATGAGCTCAGCACACACAACATATGATTCAGTTGGTCTAATGTTTTCCAGTTGCGTGACTTTATCAGTATCAGACTCCCCCAAATTGCCACTTTCTACTTAAAATGCTCAACACTGTAGAATCAGTAAGTGAACCTTTATTTTGTTGTGTAATGTACCGTAATGTGAGGAATCAGGTATACGAAAAAGGGATCCTCAGAAAACAGTTGTGATATATATCAGTGAGCTACTGTTGTAGAACAACAACAAAGATTCTTGCACAAAATCTAATTAAATATGACATTCTCTGGATAGGAGAAGATTAAAATTATTTAGTTCATTTAAAATTCTTCAGATAAACTAAAGTATTAAGTGTTATGTATGGCTGAAATAAGCTAAATAAACCATTTAACAAGACTTAAGAGTCTAAAGCCACGTTAGCTGTGCTAATGTGAGCTAAACTAGCTAACTTAGGCATGATATCTATATGAACATGCTGATGTTTAGAAGGTTTAATGTTAATTATGTTCTAATTTATATGTTCTTTTGCTAATTAGCACTAAATACAAAGTACAGCTGAGGCTGATCTGTAAGACGGTAGAAATCTTAAGTGTGGATTTTTCAATTCAGGCTTAATTCATATTTATTCTGTATGGTTTGTACCTGACCTCAGCCTTTTACCTTGATTTGAACGTTTACATTATATTTTAAATTATGTCCAAGCACTTACAGGCTTTAAATGTCATGGTTTATGAATATGAATTTGCCATAAAAGAAAGAAAGAAAGAAATAAGTCAGGCCATACTACATTATCAAGTTGAATAGAGTAATGTATCACATTGAAAAAACATGAATATATGTGAAAAGAAAATTAGCCCAATAATTGTAATGCTGGTTCCAATGATTTTCTGTGGTAAATAAGGAAATGCATGGAATATTGAAATGAACAGTAATGGTAAAATAAATTACAATGGTGTACAGCAGAATACACTTATTTAAATTACTTCTGACTGCTCTCCAGATTGCCTGAAGATGGTTGATTATTCCACCTTTGCCCCTTGTAGGTTTTCTTCTGTGTTATGACCCTGCTCAGGAAATGTGTGCAGAATATGTGTTGGTAACCATCCATCCCTGTGGACATTTTTCATGTTTAAAAGAGGTAAAAATGTGGACAAATACCTTCTTTAGAGGCACTTCTTGGAAATCCATACTTCATATTATTCATACCGTACCAGGAAAAACAATTTTAAATGGTGTATCGTGTGTAATTGTGTCAGTGTATTTTTTCAGTGTGTGCATGTTTTCTTCCACAGAAGCCTCAATGATAAAACTTACAATAAACAAGGACTTAATTTGTGATACCCAACGTCGAGCCTGGCAATTTGACAAGAAAGCTTATGAAAGTAACAGCTATTCAAGTTGAGCCACAAGGCACATTATTTATTTGCTAACAGTTGACGCACACACACACACACTCGTTCACAAACACGTGCACACATGCCTGCATATACAGAAAAGGGAAAAGAAAGCATGACAGAGAAAAATAATTCAGTGTTTTAGTTTTGATAAAACATGTATTTTCATGAGGATCATTGCCCAACTATTGGAGGTCATTTTATAAACAGGCATTGGCGTGTCCTATCTTTCTGGTGCCATTGCCAGCACAGACATTTCAGAGCCAGGAGTGAGCCTGCTGCTGTTCAAAGGACCACATCCATCCATGTTTTCAGGGAAGACAGCATGCATGAAAATGTGGCTTGGCTAAACTGACTTAGGATTAGAACCAAATGCCTCTGGCAAGGCAAACCTGTGCTTTAACTGCTGAGTTTTACAGAAATAGATGCAACAAGCAGCCTCATCACACATGAACAGTGATAGAATGTAAAAATGATGGGAATATGCGGCCAAATACAGACACGTGAAGAATTTAATAGCAAAATATTTTTTATTAAACATGTTTTAACACCATAAACAGCACCTACTGTATGTATATGTGCTATCTGTTTGCATTTGTACTTTTTTTATATATATTTCAAATATGTTGTGTAATATTCCAGTCAGTTTACATGTAAATAAATATATCCCTAGTTTGCCAACACAAGTCTCTGGTAACAATAAAACAGGTTTTACGCAGCTGAAGTGCATTTGGTGGAGACTTGTAGTGTACAGTGACCAGACAGGACCAGATGCCCTGCACTACCTCGTCTCTCTTATCTTAACAACAAAGTGGGCTCAGTCTCTTGCTGTCTAAAGCCACGTTGACTGTGTGACTCTGTTGTTGTTCCACTTGTTATTCTGCGACAGCTCAGTTTTATCCAAATAGAAACTGCACAGCATGACAGTGGAGAAGAGGATCATAGTGAGCATGTGTACATGTGATCTGAATGAGTGCATCCTTCTCACTGTCTCACCCTCTGCTTGGATTCTCGCTTGCTTTTAATTCAGGTTCTTGGGGCAAAACAGGGGTGATTTTAGAAGAATAGAAAATTGGAAATTCTGAAATACTCCAGAGGAGATACAAGCTGATAAACCTTTCTTTGCCTCAGGACAGAATGGGATGGACAGTGCTTGGTGGATTTCTAATGTTTCTTCTTTTATATTTTAATACACGAACTCTGCTGATGTGCTGGGTTGAAGCTGAAGTTAGCACAGAAAAGTAAAAACGTACTGAGAAATGTTTTCTTCTATTTTTCTTTTCTCTCAATAGCAGTATATAGGTTATCCACACCTGTACTCACAAAACTGCATTTAATAATTGTGAATTTGCAGATTTTGACAGCAATCTTTTGAGATAAAAAAAATATTCTGTTGAAAACAAAAAAGCAGCTGAAAAGAAAAAATACAAAACAGAACAATATACCAAAGTAGAAAGTAGTCTGCAGCTACACTAGCGTTCTGAGGCTATACCGACACAGCGGTGCATTGAACTAAAAGCTAACATTAACATGCTAATGTGCTCAAAATAAGAACGCTAACATGCAAATGTTTAGCAGTTATAATGTTCACTGTGTTTACCACCTTAGTTTAGCGTGTTAGCATTCCAATATTGTTAATTAGCACTAAACACAAACTCTACAGCTGAGGCTGGAAATATCATTAGTTTTGTAGGTATTTGGTTGATGTTATAAGTCATCGTGAGCCATTAATGTCTGCACCAAATTTTATAGCAATACATTTATTAGTTTTTTTTTCCCAAAACACAAATGTCAACCTTGTGGTGTAACTAATAGGGAAAGTAAAAAAAAAGTACAAAAGTCATCCAGATAATTAATCTCTGAACTATGAATATCACTTTCATGCCTGTCCATCCAATTGTTGTTGAAATATTTTAATCTGAACTTTTCCAGATTCAAATCTTTTCTCAATGAGCTTGAGAGGGATTATATTTATGAAAGCCCAAATAACAAAACAATTCAACTATCATAAAGAAAAAAGAAAAACTAGGACAAAATGTACCCATAATGTTTAAGAGCTGTTGAGTCCGTAATGTTTGAGTCAGGGTCTCAAACATGTGCTTGTGAATATAAAATACTACTTTAGTAAAGTTTCCTTTTAACGTCAAAAGGAACAACAAGAAAGGTTTTTAAACCTGAGAGAAATGCTGTAATGCTGATTTGTAAACTTTAGCAATCTGTTTGCTCTGAACATTGATCCATTGCTCATGTTCTGCTATTTTTTTGTGCTTCCTCTATCTTCTGACCCCTGCGCTGTCATTCACTATAATAACTCACTCTGCCAGGCCATGAATAGTTAATACAACGCATGTGGAAAGCATCTCAAACTGATTCAGCAGATGCTACTGTGCTGGTCCCACTGATGAATTAGGATAAGCTTATGACATTTTAAAATGAAAGCACTCCGGCGTACCTCTATCAGCTTCCAAAGCCTTTATAAATAGTAGTACATCCTCTCCTGATAACAGTGGCATTATACAGTATGTATCTGCACAATTTATTTCAAAAGATACTGTCCATGTCTCCTGACAACAAAAAAAAAATTTTTTATTAGGTTGCGGCATAGTGAAGGTAAAACAAACTGTTATCTTCTGTGTCGTTTGGCTGTCTGAATTTCAATTTTACACCCCAGTGGGCTCTGTTAAACCAATGCAGACATGGAGAGAGAGCAAAGAAAAATTTCACAGTTTAAAAAAATAGACGTAGCACAGACAGATGAATCTAATATGCGGATACAGGAGGGCTGGGTCCCGGTGAGATTAAGCAGGTGGTGTTGTAATTTCGAGTTTGCTGGAAATCACGAACAAACTAATTCAGGAGGTGATTGCTTGGAAAGGGTAAATGGTAAGCTGTGGGAAGTCTCACCATGTGCTCATCAGGAAGAGAAATACAGACATACATGCACACAAACACAGATAAGATACACACACAGTCATACAGAAACACAAAGGCAAAGAGGTTACAGTGTTTGTGTTCAGTCATTCCAATGCAGGGGAGTCAAGGAAGAAACCTGCTCCTCAATGTTTCCTCAGTACTATAAAGATAAACCAGCTCAGCCTCATGCTCTGTTGCTATGGTACCAAGAGAATGAAAGAAAACTGTACATGTCTGTGAAGATTCTCAGTCACCCAGGTTATATATGATGTCTCCAAGTGCCTAAGTTGAAGGAAGGGAAGTGGACATTTGTTTTTACTACAAGACTCCTGAAACATAATGAAACAAGTCTGCTCGACTCTGACTTACCACTTTAAAATAATTCAGGAATCCATTCAGAAAAAATGCAAAAAGAAAGACTAAAGTACTCCCAATTCAAAACCGGTTACATGTCAAGGCTTGTGCGTACCTCAACCCTCATAAAACAATTGTTTTATGCCGTCTACTCAGGGATGTATCAGGTTTGAAATGATTGGCACAGTTTGCATTTAAGACGTCCAGCAAAGTTCACAGGAACGGCAATGGTTATGCCTGAGTGAAGGCACAACTCTTGGCAGGCAGGCCAGCCTACGAGTAGGATCAAGAAGGGGGTGAGCTCATTTTTTGGCAGAACGGTGTGGTACTTTGGTAAGGAACAGCATATGTATTGTCATTCTTTTTGTTCACTTTTTCAGCTGATTTAGTCCACGCCGATGCCCTCCACCTCAATCGGCTCAGAGGATGTTTGCACACACTACTTTGATGTCTGACGACGTGCACATCGGCACCGTTTTATCATTGCTTACATTATACATCACCCAATGCGAGAGCATCTGGTTTGAATTCCCTTGAGGAAACATTACAATATGAATGAGATCTATTGCAGGGGAACAAAATGTGGTTGATTACCCTGCCTGATGATCAGAACAAGGACGAAAACAGCGTGACCATGAACTTCAGTGGCTCTCTTGTGCCCTCTCAGGATTTTATAGTAAACCCCCCCTGGTTGTGTTTCCTAACAAGGATTTAGAGCTGCTTTAGAAACCATGTTGACCCAAACTCTGCAACTGGAACAAGAGCCCGCATTACAGCTCATAGTATGTTAGCACTACAGCAAGTCTCCAGGGGGAAAACAGCCTTTGTTTTGCATTCCATTGTTGCAGCACATTCATATTCAGGAGATGCTTGTGGTGCATTGGCAGACACTAAAACAACTACATAGCCCTAAACACCCCATTACTTCATTTTCAGACAGTGAAAACATGACTTTTTTTTGGTATTTTCCCAAGATGAGCATCAACGGAAAACTGCAACATTTTGTCTAGCTTGTTGCCATGGTATTTTGTAGAAGGAATACATCTATACATTTTTAACTGGTTATTTTTCTATTATGCAAGCTGCATTTACATCAGTAAATCCTCGCTTTAGATCAAATCTAAATGTGGTATCGTGTTCATCCTCATCTTCATCCTCCATCCTGACATAGCCATGTTTTTCTCAATTATATTTAAAAAAAAAGATAAAAGTTTTATTTCCATTTGATCCATTTTGCACATTTGTATCCACCAGAGTGGAAAGTATCCACAAGATACAAAAATTATCTCTACGTGCCACTGTAACATTTCCATCAGGCTCTTTGACAAATTGTGCATAGCTAAAATGCCTGCAGTGGTAACCTTTATTGGCCATCTGATTGCCTGTTAGTTTCCACTTTTGCTGTAGCTGTTTTCAAGTGATTCAAACTGCAGGAGGAAATACTGAATTAGCATATCAGTGCTGTCTGGTGAGAGGCACATAACAACTAAATTGTGAAATATCAGTTACTGTAGATAACAGACAAATCAGTAAACTTAAAACTTAAACCCTGGTTTTTCTCCAGCATCACACATTTCAACAAACATGATTCAGATACAACATGAGCATCTTCTTTTGATAATGGAAAAAATGCTGAACAGTTGTTTGGAAATATTTGACTGCTGGCAAACTACAAGGCACTTTGTATTTAGTGATACATTGTCTACCCCTGCCTTGGGTTTTTTATAGCCATAGTTGGTCCACGCCAACTCCACTCCACACAGCCCACTTCTCACTTAAAATGTCCTCTTGGGCTGCAGCACTTAGCAACATGTACTCTCTGCCAGCCCAGGAAGACTCAATACCACCTAAATCCTGGAAGAGGTTTAAGCTAAACATAAAATGAATTGTGACTATCCACAGAAAGCATCAAATCAATGCACTGTTCAGTCAAAAAGAGAACACTCCCCTTAAAAGGTTTGATCATTTTGCACCCAGGGGGGTTCAAGTATGGATCATTTGCTTTAAAAACTCAATTAAAAGTGAGATAACAAAAGAGAAAATGAATGGGACAGAATGACTCGCTAAGGAGCCATAATCAAGAAAAGGAGTAACCTGTAACGCCACAAACTTATGTAGTTAGTTAACAGTGGCGCTTGGTACTAGGCCTATATATATATAGGTAGCACAGACATGCTAGCAATTGCAGTTTACATTAGAGCAGATAAACACTGTTAAATCCATTTCTTGCACAATTGCTCTTGTTTTGGTTTTGGAAAGGCTAAAAAATGACACCACCCTCCTGCTTCAACATGTAGAGAAATCCTGAGCATGCGTATTATGCCTAGTTACGGTTGCTAAGATATGATTGGGCAATAACTGTTAAGGGAAGGTGTTTAGCAAACAGCTGATTGAATCAAATCAAA